GTGAGTGAGAGAGAGAGTGTGTGTGAGAGAGAGAGAGAGTGTGTGAGGGTATGTGTGTGTGTGTGAGAGAGTGTGTGTGTGGACGTGGAGTTTATAAGAGGGTGGAGTTTTCATTGGTTGAGTTAATGTTGTTGGTCCATGATTGTTTGTTGTTTGGAATCTGTGGTAATCTTTGGTCCATGCACTCTATCAACCTGGCTGTCATGGTCAGGGAAACTGGGGAATTTTGTATGCTGTTATCATATATTTCACTGGCTCCTATTCCAGCATTTTACCCCGAGTGAGGGCTCCCACCCTGTCCTGTCCCAGGTCTCAGGCTGCATTTCAATTACCCAGTTTGAAGCATGTAACTAAAAAAACGAAAGAACTGCGGATGCTGTAAACCAGGAACAAAAACAAAGTTGCTGGAAAAGCTCAGCAGGTCTGACGTGGTGCGTTATCTACAGCTCAGACTCTTTCTTCTTTCTGGACCAGAATTTCTTTTTTAGCTGCAAACACTTACCATAGTCATGTTTGCTGTGGATTACCTTGGTGTCCTGCAGCTCCTACATGCTGCAGCAGAAACACATCACCATCCTGATCCCTGACTTTCTGCCCTCTGACTCTCTCTCCATATGTCCCACAACCTCTCTGTCCCTTTACCCCCCTGCCCTCTGACTGTCTGCTTCACTCTCTCTTCCTTTCAGACGTTCCTTAAATCCTCCATCTTTCTCACCTTCACTAATAACTCCTTCTGAGGCTCAATGTCTAACCTTGTGTGAGCTGTGGGACATTTTCAATGACACAGTGGGAAAGAGACATGAGATGAGAGAGAGAGAGAGATGGAGCGAGGGAGAGAGACACACACAGAGGGCGAGGGGGTTACAGGGAGAGAGATGGAGAGACAGAGAGAGAGAGAGAGAGGGTGAGACAGAGAGAGAAAGAGAGAGCGGGAGAGAGACAGACAGAAAGACAGAGAGAGGGGGAGAAACAGAGAGAGAGAGACATAGAGAAAGGGAGAAGGAGAGAGAGACAGAGAGAGAGGCAACAGAAACAGAAGTTGCTGGAAAAGCTCAGCAGGTCTGGCAGCATCTGTGAAGGAGAAAACAGAGTTAAGATTTCGGGTCTGGTGACCCTTCCTCCAGTTTTTATCAGAGAGAGAGAGCGAGAGGGAGGGAGAGAGAGAGGGAGGGACAAAGGGGAGAGGGATTAGAGTGTGGGGTTACAGCGAGAGTGTGAATACAGTGAAGGTGGGGTACAGTGAGGGTGGGGTGCAGTGAGAGTGGGGTGCAGTGA